CCCTCCCTCCTTCATTTTTCCCCTTTTATCTTCGTTCCTTGGTTGGCTAAGGTGAAAAACTTAAATCATTGAAATCAAAGTCTTACCTTTTTTCTGACAACCATGACTTTTTCAGCAGGAACATAAAGGAAAGGAAACAAGAAGCGCCAGTTGAAGTTGCCAGTTCCATCAAGAGATCTGAGGGAAAAGAAGTACGCACGTCAGTAACACAGCCTATATTTAAAAAAGGGTCAGTGAAATAGAGATGAGAAAAAGAAGGAGATAAAACTGGGTGAGAGAGACGGTGAGAGACATGTGAAAGTGGATTCAACGCGCCTCATCTAAACAGCAATCATAGTATCTTTAAAGACATTTCTTATGCATGTAAGAAAATATCCTGGAAGGACATGCCCAGTCGTGACCGCGACCTCGACGCTGCGGCATTGCATGAGCAGCGCACTATGTTGGCTTTTTCATTTATCTTATTCATTTACGCAGCAGTGTTTAACATATTATTTGAACAACTGTTATATTCAAAAGAAATAATAGATTGTTAAAAGGCTGTCATCGATATCTTACCGTGATAGTACTGTGTGGTCTGACATTTTTGAAAAACATTCATACAAAATCTGCGCAAATGTTTTTCTTTACTTGTCATTAATTCTCGCCTAAATTTTCTGGACTTACCTGAAATGCACGTCCGTCTTTTGAGGATCATCGATACCTGCAATCCATCTGAAATAGTAGGTTTGACATTACTTTGATTGATTATTTTAAAAAGTGTAAGCATTTTTTTAAGTCAAAAAACTCAATTAGCTATTAGAAAAGTGAGTATGATTATGGATTGATGGGGAAGAGGAAGGGGAAGGAGAGGGGGAAGGGGAAGGGGAAGGGGAGGGAGAAGGAGAGGGGGAGAGCTGATTGGATTTGGATTTGTCACTTCAATCATTAATTTACTCTTCCATTGTATACTTAAGTTTTATAGCAAGACGAGTCCAAATTACTCACCCTTTGACGTAAATGTCACTCATGGATTCTCCAGTGATTGACGTCTCTTCCAAGATGACGTCACTAGTATTCCAAATAATGACCCTAAGTTCATGCCTGAAGAAGCAGGGTTGGAACAAATGATCAGAAGAAAATATTTTCAACGGTACCATAGAATGAAAGAGAACAAAACAGAGAGCCAACACAGAACAGGGGCATTAAATCGAAACGCGGCACAATCTCACAAAGTCCAAAACTCGTACAGGAAGTCATAAAGATATTATCGCGCGCGACACTTGTGAGCTATATCATGATTTCACACGGAACAGACAGATAAGCGAGTGAGAATCGAACGTTGCAAAATATCGAATTTCATTTTATTTCCCCAATAAAACCCCTTTGGTGAACTGTCAAAAAATAACAATTAAAAAGTTCAATGGCTTTTTATTTTTTTATTGACACCTGGCATACTTGGATATATCTAAAGGTTGCAGCAATATATGACACTATCAGTTGCAGTGACGTTTCTCTCTAGTTTTGATAATAATGTCGCCTAATGTCGCCCAATTTCACCATATGTCGCAGCGGCATTTTACTCCAATTTTGAT